TCTCGACTGGCATATATTGGCCAATGCCATTTTCTCCATACACACGAGCGTGCACATTTGTTTGTATGTTTTGGCGAAAGTAGGACCATAGTTGTGGGACTAGTTAACTTTTGGGTTTTTATGATGTCTAGCAGTGCACTTGTGGATAATAGCAACGTTGATGCAGCCGCAATCACAACTTCCAGCTCATCGGAATCCATCTTGTACCGGCATTGAACCAATGCTGGTACAAGTTCGCTATTTTTCACACATAACCAACATTCACCAACGCTGGCACGTCGTGTGAATGCTTTCAATTTGCGAATGATGACGAATATCCGATTGTTGGCCTCAACGTTGGTCCCAACGTTGGCTGACGTTAGCACACCGTCTGTAGCCACCTTTATTTTAGCCCGATATTTCCAAAACGGCTCAATAAGAAGTAGTTGAACCATATATATGTATTTGAAATTAGAAAATTCGAGTCCTTTCAACTAGGAAGTCATATACAGTGTGATTTTATAAGTGTGCAACATATGGGGATTTTTTTTAGTAATAGCACAACCCAAATACAAACAAGGCCAAAAGTTGGTGCATGTCTGATAATCATATTAGGTGCACTTAAAATGGTTGCAAGTGAAACAACATACAGGATAGCTCAAACAATATCAAAGATGTACTGTAAAGTACCCTTATTTTAGAAAATTCAGCAAAATGTTATGGAGAAAAGTTGTTTGGAATTAAAAGTTATGCCTAAATACCAAAACGTAGCCTCCTAAGATTTTTTTTATTTTCTTTCGAAAAAAATCTATAATTTCTATATTTTTTTTATTTTTTATTTCTGCCCTTAATTAATCAAAATTAAATCAATTTTACATAACTTTGTTCAAATTCAAGCATATTTGTAAAATTAACTTAGATTTTTAATTTTTTATGGAATCACAAAATTCATGTTTGTTGCAATGATATTCAACACAACTTTAAAATGTCGTAATTTTTTTTTTAACAAATTAAAACATTACTCATGATAATAGCCAAATTAAAAAAACTCTCCTTAAAGTGCAAAAGTTTTATTTTATTTAAGTAAATATTACTACAATTTTTATATTTTTTGAGCTACCCTGTATGCTGTTTGACTTGCAACCATTCTAAGTGCACCTAATATGATTATCAGACATGCACCAACTTTTGGCCTTGTTTGGATTTTGATTGTGCTATTCTAAAAAAACAAAAACATTTTGACATCGGATTTAAAAATTTCAGGTAAAACCCCAAAACTTTTGTATTTACAATTTTTTGATATCTCTTCATATAACTCCTGTAGTGGGGGGGTCAATTTATGGAGAAAGACCCCGTACATGAGAGCCGTAAATTCTTGGATGCTATTGATGACGTTCGCAGTGCAACCCTCAGCGGCATCTCTTTCATTTTCATCAACTGCGTTGATTGTTGTATGAGGAAGGTGATGGAAGCATTTTGGAACGATTCGTTATTTTACAAAACCGGAAATGGTCTTACTTTGCCTTTTCTGTAAAAAGCTGACATGTAATCACACCCTCTAAAGGCATGAAAACTCGGAAAGGCTTTGCACAATCGTAATCCCAAAGTATCAGCTAGTAATGTACAATTCAAGCATTCTTGGTCCCCTTTTTTTGACGAAAAAGTAGCTAGCCAAACTTCCGAAGCGTTTAATTTGTGGAAACTCACCCAATACATCCGTGTCTGAAGCTTTTAGCAAAACTTTTGATTGAGGCGTCAACTTACATGATAAATAATCCTCGTGGAAACACATGAAATCAGGTTCTCGAACCTTGATTACTGAATTATTCACAGAACGATAAAAAAAAGCAACTTTACCAACAGTCGAAATAGTATATTTCCTAACTAGTGCAGAAAGTGTCACTTTTTCGCAAGCCCTTGCAGTTAGCCCAACGAAGCGTAGCGGAGTTCGGCAAGGAATCAAGTGAGGAAAACTAGGAAAAGAGACTTTCCGCACGAGTTAGGAACACTATTTTTTCTACGAGCTGAAAGTTAATATTTTTATACCTCTACCATTTTTAGATATTTTTACTTTTCCGCACTCATATTTGTGGCTATACACCTACCGATTTTAGCTATTTCCACTAGTGCGGAAAAGTGGTACTTTCATGACCAAAAATGCGTGCAGCAAAGTGGCGAATCACGCACGCCTCATCGAAAAAGTGATCGTTCTCCCAATTTTCAAATTAAGAATTTCAGATACGTACTTCACTGAGTGCCTTGCATATTTTGGCTGATTTAGACACTGATCTCAAAACTAAAATGGATAAACAAAGAACGCTTCTATTGCTGCCAATTTACCAGGTTAAAATGTGAACGTGAACAACTGGGACAGCTGTGAGCGTGCGCAGTAGATACATGTACTTTGCGCAAAGTATTGATTGGCAATGAAGGACGTTTCCAAATTTAGAACAGCTGTTCGGAATATAATACTCTGCGCAGGCGTTAGGTTGTTCTGTTGAACAACTACTGTTCGTAGAATAATGATCACAAATTTTCGCACAAGTTTGAGCCAATCAAGCCGTACGATTGTTTATCCATTCTAGTTTTGAAATGAGTGGATTTAGAGCGAAAAACAAATTGGCCATATCAAAGAGCAAAACAACGTGCAGTTCGAAATCTCAACAGTCGAAAAAACAAATTGACAAATTCAACGTATCGCATGTAAAACTGCCGAAATTTGTGGAAGTAACTGATCATTTACTGACTATTGTTTTATAAATATTTATCGATAATTTAGATGTAAGAAGTAACGCAAATAGCTGGCGCGCACCAGGAAACTTTCCACGAGGCAACTTTTATTTTTCGGTTTTGAGCAGGCAACCTTAGTTCGATGTAGAGAGGAGATCGAGACCTTTAATTTGATAAAGTATTTTTCACAATGAATGGTGGACTCCTTTTAACTACCTGGACCTTTTGAAAGAGCTCGGCCATGAACACAATGGGAATACAATGGGTAGTTTTGTTGCAGTCATTAACTCGATACAAATTATTTTGAAAAATACTGTACCTAATTTATGCGTCCACCTGATGACGAATGAAGATAGTTATTGATGAAAAAACGACCCCCTCGGCCCTCAGCCTGGCTGCCGGGGTGTGCCGAAGAGTGGGACCAGGCAACCTTATAGGGTTGCATTGAGTTCGTCTCGCGCTTCCCTACAACTTGGTGATTTCATTTCATGTCCACCTCTAAAAGATTGTAACTGCGATTATGTATTATATATTGTTTCAGCCGGATTTTCGCGTGCAAACTTCGTGTTTTCTCTTAATTAGGGCCTCAACTAATATTCATATTTTTTTTTCGGTCGTCCACTTCATGACGACACATTTTCTTCAGCTTTCTCTCGTACTATAACAACTTTGCCTACTGTGATTGTGAGCAGCACATATGCAATAAAATATACCTTTTTTTGTTTGTTTTTCACACAGACCGTGTACAAACACCAAACACAGTGCGAGCAGGTTTCCGCTTACCAGTAATCAGGGCCGAATCGCGCTTATAAGCGTGAAAAATGAATGCATGTTTTTAAATCGGCTAGTACACAGTAAAAAGCAGGGAGAGGCAGGTAGAGGCGGGAATCAGCGTTCTCGCTTCAACCGGAATGAAAATATAGTGTATTACAAACACAGTACAAGCAGGTTTTTCGCTTACTGGTAGGCAACACCGTTCTGCGCAGTGTTCTCGCGCCGAGATAGCACAGAGTGAATACCTGCAAAAGCGAGAAGATCTTTTTAAACTTCAAATATGCCACCTGCCAGTTGTGTCTCGTCTCGAACATGCTAGCCTAACAAATATGTCATCTTCGGATGATGATGATTTGATTGCTCTAGATTCTGTGCATACTAAATTAAAAAGAAAAAGAGTTGATATACCATATTCTTAATCGTGAAAGAAACCTGTATGAAGAATATTATTTCCCTCCAATATTTGTCGACTACATTTCGATTGCTATGCTGCTTATGCCTTTTGTCCCAAACAGGAGTTTTTTCAAAAATTGCAGCTATTACTAACTCCTTATCCATTACAAGAACTGAAAAGACATTGCCACGACGCGTGCAAAAGTAGAAATAAACTAAATTTTTATTCCGGTTAAAGCGAGAACGCTGGTTCTCGCCTCTACCTGCTTTTTACTGTGTACTAGCCGATTTAAAAACATGGATTCATTTTTCGCGCTTATACGCGCGAGGCGGCGCTAGTCACCGGTAAGCGGAAACCTGCTTGCACTGTGTTTGTACACTTTAGTGTATTTCTGCTTTTGCACGCGTCGCGACAGTGTCTTTCAGTTCTTGTGATGGAAAAGGAGTTACTAATAGCTGCAATTTTTGAAAAACCCCCTATTTGGGACAAAAGGCATAAGCAGCATAGCAATAGAAATGTAGTCGATAAATATTGGAGGGAAATAATATTCTCCATACAGGTTTCTTTCACGATTAAGAATATGGTATACCAACTCTTTTTCCTTTTAATTTAGTATATGCACCGAATCTAGAGCAATCAAATCATCATCGTCCGAAGATCACATATTTGCTAGGCTAGAAATTCGAGACGAGACAGGTGGCAGATTTGAACTTTAAAAAGATTTTCTCGCTTGTGCAGGTATTCACTCTGTGCTATCTCGGCGCGAGAACACTGCGCAGATCGGCGCTGCTTACCAGTAAGCGAAAAACCTGCTTGCACTGTGTTTGTACACTAGATTAGAAAACTGAATAGCTGCGAATAGAAACTCATGTATTTAGCTTTTGTAGCATACCCATTTTTTTGGGAATTTGATGCGCCAACATTTTATTTTCTGGTCATTTTAAGGTAATTTGCTGGCTTCTGTGCCTTTTTGGAAAACTTTTCCCATGAAACATTCTCCTGTATTTTGTTTAGTCCTATTTATTTGGGTCAATGCACCAAAACAACTTAGTTCAAAATGTCTGGTTAGTTAAATTATAACCACGTTAGACCCTATTGTCTGAGCTTGTTTATTTATTTTCAGGAACAAGATGAATGGAAAGAGTTTGAAGAAGAAAAAAAAGACTATACCGGGCTCAAAATCGGGAATCTCACCATTAATGCCAATCAAGACAACATCGGACATCAAGAGTCTGGTTCGGGGGACCAACAAGAAGGTCTTGAACACAGTGAGGATGCCGAAAGAAAATCTGGACCTTGGAACCGGATGGATTCTACTAACCAAGCCGAGGAAGAGAACCCCTCTCCACCACCAAAGGTTGTTGTAGTTGAGAAACCCACTATACCAGAACCATCTACTGGGTTGAAAACAACTTATAAACCACCTGCATTAGTGCGTAGCCTAAACGCGACAAGTGCAGCGCCTGCAAGGCTTCGAGGTAATCGTGGAGCTGCTCCAGATATCCACAACGAAGATTTCTTCCCGACGTTGAGTGGCAAGAAAAAAAGTGGAGAAGGGGCCTTTGAAGTGGTCCAACAGCATCGTGCTTCCTCTTACAAGCAACATTCGGAGCAATCTAAAGGCGGTGGTTGGCCAAAGTTAAGCCTAGGCAACCGGTATAACACTTTGAGCAGTAATGACAGCTAGTGGCGCCCCCTAAAGTATTCTAATTAATTTTATACATCCCATATCCTGACTTCTTTTTTTTTTGATATAGCAAGAAAAATTGTTTTTTTTTCCAAATACCTACAGTTCGCGAGCCTTTTTGTTGAGATTTGTTTACAATATCCAATTATCAATTGTTCCGTTTACAAATAATTATATATTCACAAAAAAAAAAATATAATTAATTATTATTATTTTTTAGTTTAATTATTGCATATTATGCAGAATGACTTGGATCTTGCTGGAGGTAACAATCTACTGTATAATATTTTGGCTCCTGAGTTTGCCAACTAGAAACAGTTGGGTTTACTAGAGATTGTGAGCTCCTAATTAGCAATAGCAGATACTGATACCTTGTGACCATCATTTTCTTACTAGCAGAAGGCGGCGCAGCCATATGAATGAAATGTTTGCATTATTTGTTTCTTGCTAGAGAAACCCTGCCAAAATATTGTCGACTAAAATTGCTGCAATAAAATATCTCTATTATCCATTGAACTAAACAAACACTCTGGAACGGGCGCACTGCTTTATGCTAGTGTGCGGAATTTTTAGAGCTTCTTCATCTTCCTAACCTCAATGATCCAAACACTTCAAACAGCTGTTCTCAATAACCGCCATAGTGCAGAGAGAGATGCAAATCCCTCTTGTTTGTTGTCCTTCCTGGCACTAACCCTTAATCGCACAGTTTATTATTGAAATTTGTGATAGCTGGGTCCTTATTCTGGAGACAGGGGAGCAGCGTTCCCAGGAGAACGTGTGTTTTGTCTTTGTTCCTTATATTATCATTTGCATATCATTGAGAAAGACGGAACACTCGTTCTCCTGGGAACGCTGCTCCTCTTTTTCAAGAATAAGGACCCTGAGCCGTTGTCATTTTGTTGATCGATGAACTGTGCGATTGTTTTGAACCGTTCTAGAACCGTCCTTTTTTCGAACCCGAAAATAGCTATTATACTATAAGATGGAAATAATAATAATAATAATAATAATATTTTGTTTTTCATGAAGATGAAAGTGAAACACAATAGTATGTTATGCAAAGAACATGTAATGATATCCATTAATACACTAGCACGAGCATGATGTAGGATACGAAACAAGCCGCAGGCGAGTTTTGTATACAGGGTGTCCATTTTAAGTGATACCACTATTGTTATTGGGATTTCAAGATAAGCGGTACTCTATCTGGCGGCAAATTACGGAACGGTGAATTATTAAGTCTAAATTATATCAGATACATTCAATTATGACCTCCAATCACTACTGTTGTGTTCCTTAGTGCAAGTCTTGGGCTAAAAAAGATGCTGACAAAGGGTTGAGTTTCCACATATTTCCCCCTGAAACAGGCTCACGGGTTTATTTGGAAACAAAGATAGAAAAAGAGTTAGTGTCGAGAAGAAAAGCCTGGTTTTTGAAACTTCGTATTGGCAAACCAGTCTCCAAATTCATGAAAGTGTATTTCTCTGCATTTCAAGCAAGAAGTTTGTGTTAAGGTAAATAAGCATAATAGATATTTTTGTGCCCTAGCTTCCTTTTAGGCCTGCTCCCAGGCATTGATTGAGTACTTATTATCTATTTTTTAAATGTTTTGTTTGAAAATATTGACTGTTTTTATTATTTACAGGTGAGAGTACAGGTAGAGTTCGGATATTGAAAAAAACAGCTGTACTATCCCAGAATTTGCCCTCTTCTAGAGTGATCCATCAACCCAGCCAAAAAACAGATTCTATGTGTGTTGAAAGACTTGCCAAAAGAAAAAGAAATCAAGATTCTAGTGAGAGCGATGCAAGTAATGAATGTAGTGATACTTGTAATCAATAGGGAACTGGACAAAAAATTTAAACATGAAAATATTACTATAAATCATAAGAATACATTAATTAAAACCTATATCAGTGAAAAAAAACAATTTTTTTTGTCGCAAACGGCCACAATAAAGCCTAGTCTCCATGGACGCGAAATCGCGAATTTTTTTTTGCGGATATTTTCCGATTGGTTGGAATTTGATATTTAACATTTGATTTTTTTATGGCGGGAAAAATTCGCGAATTTTTTAACTTCTTGCGGCGTCGCAAAAAAGTTAACTATTTTTTAACTTTCCGCGAAATTTCGCCAAAAAAAAATGAGGTTATGTGGTGTTACTTTCAGTTTAGTTTTGTTTATGTTTTTGTCGGTATGTGCTCTGTTCTCTGTAAGTCGTTGATGTGTTTTGTACTTGTAGATACCTAATAAAGAATGGATACTGCCAAAGAATTGAATATTGTAGACCCGAAAACAGACATAAATTACAGCTTGCTGGTCGATGAGGAAGATTATAATAGGGCCTTAAATGTAATTAAGACAACACCAAGACACATATTATCTTTTTTTGTTTTTTAGTAATCACTTTCATGGTTTTCAAAGATTAGCGTTTGAAATTCAAAGCATTTACATCAAATTCAAATTGATTACAAACAACAACACATAGGTAACCTTAACCTGTTAAATAAAACGCGAATTTCGCGCTTATGGAGACATGGGAATAATTTGCTCAGAAATAGCCACCAAAAAATGACACTTAAAAAATTCGCTTTCCGCGATTTCGCGTCTATGGAGACTAGGCTTATGGAATGAAAAATGCGGAAAAATTCAAACTCCGAGCTTTTTCTCGAACTCTACATAATAAATACACGTTAGATGTGCTTATTTACGTTTTTCTCTGATTTTTTAAAATTTTATCATTTATTAGAATTGGTTTACTTAACTTAAATTTAATGATCTGCTCAGCATTATATGGATAAAACGATATACCTACCTATTAATTATGACCAAAGAAGGAAATTCCAAATGCCAATCCGTCAATCTGTAATTTGTGATATGGTAGCAAAAGTAAGTATGTGCGAATCTTTTTTTCTATTATACTTTAAAATTTACAACTCGCCGCAGCACAAAACAACAACAAACCAAATAACTGTGGGAAATGTGGAAATCAACCAAATTAAATACAATAAAGTATGACGTTTGACGACAAGGTGAAGCCGGCGCCACACGATGTGTCGAATGCCTTTTAACGTTGGACAGATAGCGATTTGTGGCATCGTGTAGCCGTGCGCTCATCGGATACATGATACATTTGCCGAATGCTAGAGTAAAAAACCCTGTACCCAACGTTGGATCGATCCAACGTTGGGGCCAATGGTTGGACACATCGTGTGGCGCCGGCTTAACGCAAAATCATACTACGTGACGTCATCCAGATTCGCGCGCATTTAGGGTCGTTTGAAATGCTTTTAATTCGCGCGAAACTTTAAACATTTTTCACCAAGTTATTATCGAGTTTTAGGGAATAATATTGGGGGAATACTCTTTCAAGGCATAAATAAATGATTTGAAAAAATAAAAAAAAAATTGTAAAGTTCCCTATTATTAAACTCTTCTGAGACAGACATACAAATGGACGAGCAAACAGCAGACAGTGTCAAGTTTTTATTAAATGAGCCACTTTCACGTGTCGGGAATATGGCAAATTATGATATTGTTTGACGCAGATACATCAATGCAACCAAGAATGAATAATATTTTGCAAGATTTTAGTCAGAATATTAAATAAATTAATAGATAAAAAGTGAAAATTTAAACGAAAAATCACGTGATTGAAAACGCTCTCTGATTGGCTAAAGCCGATTTTGACGTTTTTGTTGCCACATGTAGAAATGCGAAATTTAAATGAGTTAATAAGGATTATACCTATCTATCCTTTATTTTCTTATAATGTAGTAAAGGACGAAAATAGTTTCTAGCTAGTGAAATGTGTAATAATTTACTAATGAGAAATTTGGCATCGTCGCATTTTTGTTTATTTTCTGGTTTGTGACGTCACAAACCAAGTTCGCGTTTTCGCGCCAGTTTAAAAATTCGCTTTTTAAATAATTTTTTTTTCAAAAATAAGCGTTTTTTTCCGGAAAAAGAGGAAAAAGATAGTATTAGAATGACTAAAAGAATAATTTAAATATGTTTTCGAAAAATGTGAAAGTGGCCCATTCTAATTACCAGTATTATAGGCAGGTTTATGGTCAAGTTATTTGACTTCGTTAATTCAATTTTTACCTATTTATAAATGAAAATAAAGAGTTATTTATGGAATATTTATTTATTTATTGCACCTACAAGTTATTCGAATACAGACATTATAAGAGACATATCTGCCTTGACCCTTTTGGCAATGTCCTATTGTGGAAAGTTTAAAAAAAAAAATAAGAAAAAGATCTTTTTAGGCTGTTGTATGTTGTATGGATATGACCATTTCGGGTCAGGTAAACGAAATAGAATATATTGAATTTTGGCCTGCATCAAGAGCCATAAACACAAGACAAACATTCAAGCTAATGTAAATCTCGCTACGATCTTAATTTGAAATCCCAAAGGTAAGTTCACAGGGTTGCCAAATTTTTGTTCGTTTCTGAGATTATGGGTAAATGTAAAAAATGCTTAAAACAGAAAACCTATTGAATGAATCTTCCAAAAATTATCAACTTTAGAAAAAAGTGTTCAATACAAAAGTTCCAAGATTTCTTCTACAAAATGGTTTGTTATCTTCACGCGGCTGTTAGTTTTTGAGATATCATTACCAACTTCATTTTTTTGAATACGGACCTGGATTTTTTATTTTGTTTTTTTGAAAGAATTTTTATCTTTCCCCAAAATGACCTATCGCTCAGGCGCTTTTCCTGCCGTTTTTGTATGGAGATAGCCAACATCAACACTTTTTCCTACGGACCTGATGTTTTTCACGCACAGCTAAAATACGGCATTTCCTGCTGCATTAGGTATACCTTTTTATTCTTTGTGTGAAATTCAGTTTTAAATAGAGGTATGTCAAATTTATTGAGAAAAAATACCAACATAAAGAGATGTAAAAATTTATTCACCTACACACATTTTTAATTTAACTTTGAAACATTAATAACTAACCAAACAAAATACATATTTAAAATTAAAAAAATGCAACTGGTAATACTATTGTAAGCGTTGGAAGTGTTCCCTATCTAGGGCCGGCTCCAGGTATTTTGCCGCCGCCCTGGGCAATGAGTAAATTTGCCGCCCCATCCCATGGCCTGCTTAGAGAAAATGTGAGAGATCTTGAATTGTAGAAGCAAAAAATAATAACACGAAACAGTAAGGCATCGCATCATAGCAATAAAACCACATCC